CCCCAAAACCCCAAAACCCCAAAACCCCGCCATTTAAAATTTAAAGCAAATTTGTGAATTTAATTATTAAGTAATAATTACTTCTTGATCAGAGTAATATAGAGATCTTATAAAGATAATTCCGACCCGAAAATTAAGCTAATATATAAACTCACTAGCATTGCTAAGTTATAATTTAAATTAAGATTTATGAGAAGTACGCGGTAACAAAAAAGCATGAGCTCTTAAAAAGCAAAATCTAAGTCAGCTATTAGAAAAAGAGTAAGCATTCGACAATTAATTTGATTCCTATAGAAAGATGAAGAACTTTCAGAGGAAGAAACAAAGTAATCGCAGAAACTGACCAGAAGTAGGAGCAACATCAAAATGAACAAGAGTTAGATTTCAGCCCACACATAAGTAGTCTACTCTAAAGGATAGTATGTAGCATTCGTAGACCCATCATCAACCAATAAGTTCAAGATTGGTCATGTAAGTTCATAATGATGTTAAAGAATTTCAGTTGATTACTGATTACAATGAGGAAGATGATGAAGTCGTGATTGATATCTACAATGAAGTGGCGGCATTGACATTTCAAAAAGAGTCATCAAGGTAGCCAGTCCCTGAATACACTCTAATCTGTGACCTTTAAGTTGTTGTTGAAAAGTCTAATAAGAAAGGATAGAAGACTACTCTCAAAATCAACAAGCAGCAATATAACAAAGCCAATAAGCACATGGATTAAGTGGGTAAGTATCAAATTAATGAGCAGCCATGATTGATTTATTAAATTAAATAGTATAAAGAATCGAATAAGAGAGAAGTGATGCTGAAGAAGATGATGATGAAGACGATGATGAGGAGGAGGAAGAAGAAGAGGAAAGTGATAACGAAGGAGAGAAAGAAGAAGATGAGGCCATGATGAAAAAAGATAGTAAAGAAGCCATCTTAAAGAGAAGGATAGTCAAGCCTATATTACCCAACAACAAGACTCTAGACAATAAGAAGATAGTGGCAGCAAAAACAAAACCCCCTACTAAAGCCCCAACCAAGTCAGCATCACCAAAAAAGAAAGCGGTCTAAAGGGCATCTAGATCTTAGTCAAAGCTCTCAAGAAAGTCTGTTAAGTCCTAAAAAGTAGATGATGAAGATATGGAGTCAGAGAAGGAATAAGAAATTGAGTCTGAAGTTGTTATGATTGATACTTCATCTAAATAGAAGAGAAAAAGATCTACTGCAGCTAAACCTAAGAAGGTTCCAGAACTTCCTTAAGTTGGCTAAAAGAGGAGAAGAAATACTAAGAAACTTGATCTCGAAGAAAGTCACGAGTCTGAATTCGTAGGATAGAGCTAAGATGTAGACGATGAGGATGACGATGGAGATGATGAGGGTGCATCCTAACCTGTTAAAAAGAGAAAAATGGCTGGAGGGAAAGAGAAGATTGTCAAGCCAAAGAAAGTCGTAAGAAGGCCTACTGAGTTTAAAAAGGGCAAATGGAATCCTGATATTGAACTCATTAAATTGGATAGATATCTTGAAAGCCCATCAAATGATCTCTTTTTAGAATGCTGCGTAAGATGTAATAACAAGAACGTGATTAGAGCAGTGATGTCTGATAATGAGAATCTATTGAAAAAATGCATAAATGAGAAAAAGAAAATCTCTTCATTGACTTCATATTGGAGCTCAGAAGGTACCTTCAATGCTATTGACCTAATGGTCAGCAAGAATCAGCATAATATGCTAGAGATAATGCTCCATCCAAAAGTTGTTATTCCTAAGCATTCTACATACGAACAAGCAAGAGATGCTGATTTTGTCAATAGAGCAAATAATCCATAGTACCTCATGAATTTTGTTGATTCAGGTATGGTAGGTCACATGGCTTATGGTACAAGAGTTAGAAAGGTGCAAATGACCAGAGGTAATAGATAGGGTAACAATGCTTTTCTTGAATATTAAGATAATCCAAACAGAATCCCTGTGTACTAATGCAATGAGGAAAAATTCCTAATGAGAATGGTCTACAATCATGATGTCGATTATGAAACAATCAAGTAGGTGATCAAACTCAACCCAAACACTGAGGCTATGTTCTAGACATATGCTTACCATGCAGTCAGAGCAGGTAATTACAAAGTCTCATATGAATTGATTAAGAACATGGCTAAGTATCCAAACTTCGGTTTTAATCAACTACATGTCGATGTGCTGTCTAAAGATGCAGTCCTTGATAAGATACTTAAAGTCTCAGTAATAAAGAAAGCTAATACATGCAAAGATATCACTCCATTATTTTGTGCATGCATCAATCCCAATCCTAAATTCCTAGAACAACTCTTGGAAGTTGGACCAGATACTCAGATATTTGATTAAGATTTAAGAAGAGCCACTCATTATGCAGCTGCTTGCGTCACTCCTGATAATCTTGAAATCCTTATCAAAGCTGGTTTGTCCCTGCTCGATGTAGATAATCAAAAAATGACTCCTATGCATATTGCAGCAATGATGGGAAGAGATTAAAATGTTAAAATCATTGGAGCAGCTTGCCCAAGACTGATCAACTAAAAGGATAAGAAAGGGATGACTCCAATGGCTTATGCTTGCAAATACGGCAAAACTGAAGTAGTCAAAGTACTTTTTGAACTCAAAGTTAGACCTACTGGCTGCGGATCTCTGAGAATGACTCCTCTAATTTGGGCAGCAGCCTATGGTCACTTTGATCTTTGTGAATATCTTGTTGAAGCCAAACCAAGAATGACCTTGAGTAAAGATAAATTCAAGAGGACAGCTCTGATCCTAGCTGTTAGAAATGGTTATACAAAGATTGCTTCACTACTCCTTCAAAGAGGCTCAGAATGGTACCATTAAGATTCTTCATTCAACACACCTCTTCATTATGCTGCAGCATATGGCTGGATTGACTGCATTAATCTCCTTTTGAAAGCAGGAGCAGATGTAAACTCTTAAAATTCTTGGAAAATCTCACCAATCAATATTGCTATGTTGAAAAACCATCAAGGCTGTGTTAAGAGATTGCTTGAAGAGCCGAAGGTAGATGTAAACGGAAAGGACGATAAAGGCAGGACTTTAATCATGCTCTCAATATTCTATCTTGATGATGAATCAGAAGAATTCGTTGAATATCTCTTGAAGAAGGGAGCTGATCCAAATATTGCCGATCTTGATGGCTTGACATCTCTGCACTACATCGCTAAGTATGTCCCCAGACAAACCAATGAACAAGGTGTTAAAGATAAGCAGCTCTATCTTAGACAGATTGAGATCTAGAAGAAAATTACTTAGATACTAATTCAGTATGGAGCTGATCTTACAATCAAGGATAACCAGAAGAGAACACCTTTCACAATATGCCTTGATGCTGATAATGCTCCTTTACTTGAATTCTTAAAGGACAAGGTCTCAATAAATAAGGAACCTGATCTATTTTTTTCTTTCAAGAACAAAATCTTTAATGTCCACTATCAAAAAATTCTCGAAAGACTAATCCTTAATGATCCTCCTACCAAAGAAACTATCAATTACTTAGATGATGAGGGTCTTACACCTTTCTTGAGATATATAAAGCAATTTGCAGATCAATATGCTGCACTTTTTACTGATATTTAAAATAGAATTAACCAGCAATCTTTCCTTCATGGAGCGAATACGAGGTAATACAAACTGACAAATGAGGATCTCTTTGATAAATTCGCTGATCAGACAAACTTCTACACTTACAACCATGCTATTGATCAAGAGATGAAAAATAATCTAACGAGGAAATATCTAGACGAGATCATTGTCGAGCCCTTTATTAGAGTGCTTTAGTTCTTAATCAGCTAAGGAGCTGATGAGACCATGCTTGTTTAAAAATTAAAGAAATACAGAGATATTGAACTGCAAAAGAATAATATGTTTGCCCAACTTGCTAATGGGGAAGATGTTAAGATTAACAAAGAGGAGGAAGAAAAAGTTCTTAGAAGAGAGGAGAAAATGAAAAAAATTAAAAGTTCATATGGCGGTAAATCCCTTCCAACTAGAACCAAATTCACAGGTGGATTACCATAGCCTGGATTTCCAGGAAACTAGAATGAAAATGAGAAGTCTGATGTTTATGATAAGATAGATGGAAAGAAGGTTCTCAGAGAATATGGTTAAAATGGAAAGAGAAATGCTATTCATTTAATTATCAAAACCCCTCAATAGAGGTTGCTAGATTACTTGCTGAAATTGAAAATTGATCCTGACCAACCTGATTATGACGAAATCACAGCATTCAACTTAATGAGTAGAAATGACAACAATAAAGCAGATACAATGTGGAAAGAAGCTTTCGATAAATTACTTGATTTGGAAGTTAGAATAGACTATCCAGATAAAAATGGCAGGACCCCATTCCTCAACTTTTATGATCAGCAGCAATTAGAACTATCCTTCAGAATGCTAGCAATGGGTGCAAATGTCAACCAAATGGATACTAGTGGATTATTTGCATTAAAATATGCTCTTATTAGAAGATAAAACAATAGTATTGAAGAATTACTAGGTAAAGGTGCAAATATAAACTAAATAGATAACAAAGGCAGAAATCTTCTTCATCATGCAATCAACATGTCAAGTGCCACAGCTGATGCTACTTTCGAAACAGAGTAATTCCTTATTGACAGAGGTGTAGATATCAACTTGAGGGATGAAAAATTGAGAACTCCATTACATTATGCTTTTGTGAAGATTTCAGATTGGTCTAATTCACAGCAAATTGATCCAATTGAAACAGTCAGTAGCATTTGTGGATGCAAAGGATTAGAGCTTGACTTACCTGATAAATGGCAAAAAACTCCACTTCACTATGCGTCACAAAGAGGTGCCTCAATCTGCGCTATGTATTTGATTTAAAGAGGAGCTAACATGGAGAAAAAAGATATCTACGGAAATACACCATTAGGAGTAGGTTTGACAAAGAGACATTACAACTATGGTATAATTCTAATCTAAAAATAGGCTTCAGTGCTACCTTTAGTTCATAAAGAAGATCCAGATAGAATTAAAAAGATGTGGGAAGAAGAAGAAAAATAGAAAAAGTTACTCTATAAAATACAAAAGAAAGGATCAAAAGGTGACTAAGAAATGGAAGATGAGGAAGATGCTGAATCAAAACAGAAAACTGCAAAGAAAAAGAAGCACAGAGAGTTATTTAAGGCAAACAAGGTAGGTTATTATGATGAAGATCCTTATGGTGAGGAAGATGATTACGATGATGAATATGATGAAGAGGATCAATATCAGGAAAATGTTTTCAATCAATAGAATGCATTTGGATAGCAAGTTTATAAGCCAGCAAGAAAGAAGGCTACTGCTGCATATAACCCATATGCCTTTGGTGGTGCTGGAGGTTTTGGTATGGGTGGTTTTAATTAATTTGGAGGATATTAAAATAATGTTGCCCCTGCATAGACAGGAGATCTTGTAGTTGAAACAGATAAAGAGGGTGTTTCCATGTTTAAATTGGCTATTAGGGGTGCTCAGCAAGGTCTTGCATATTTAATGCTTGATAATGGATATGATTTGATGCATGCAATGCAAGATGCAATGGACGAGAAAAAGTTTATGCTTGTCCTCACACTATTATCAAAGAACCCTGATGATGAGGTAATCTAATCTAAGAACAGCAAAGGTTAGAATTTATTCCATATCCTATCAATGAATGCTTCAAGTTGCAATCTAGATCACTTAAAGAGAATTTACGACACACTCCTTAAGAGAGGCGTAGATGTCAGAGCTAAAGATAACTTTGGTAGAAATGCACTTCATTATGCAGTTATTGGTTAATCTTTTGCCCTTGTTAATATGCTCTTATCATAATAAAATGCTTACAATCCAAATGAAGTTGACAATGAAGGATTTACACCCTTAGCACTTTGCTTGAAAGGAGCTTAGTCATCTAATCTTTTCTATCATATTGGCCAAATGGTCTTGGTAGACAACATCTTTATGGTGCTTGTTAAAAATGGTGCAGATGTAAATATTGTATACCCTGAAGATTCTTACAAACCAGGACTTAGAGAAGAGGATGTAGACGAATAATACAACACTAAAGGATTATATTACTGCTCGCCATTAATTAATTTGATCAGACAAAATCCAAAGAATGAGGTTATGAGATAAAACTTAATTGGTCTGATTGAATATGGTGCTAAATTGGACGTCCTAGATAGTGATGGAAGAGATCCAATAATGCATGCAATTATTACCAATAATACCATGGTAGTGAAGATTGTGTTAGAAAATAAAAAGGCGCTCTAAGTTAATACAAAGTGTCAAGATAAAGCAGGAAAGAGTGCAGTTCACTATGTAGTCAATCCTCTTAGATATGGTTCATTTGAAAATTTAGAGATTCTTGGACTTCTTCATAAATATGGATTTGATTTCTTCCTGAAAGATTCTCACAACAGATCACCAGCTACTTATGCTTCTGAGCAAGAAAGTGGAGTTCTATTGAAAGAACTTGCCAAGCTTAGTGGATAGGAGTAATAACTCAATACCTTCAGGAGATAAATTTCAGCAGTTGACACCTAAAGATGGCCTGAAATGAAGGTTGACTTTGAGAACGATGCTGATTAATATATGGATATGGCTCATGACAGAGAGAAAAAGCTAGCCAAAGAAAAAGAGTTTAGAGTTCCAGTTGATAAAACTGGAAAATTTGAAAAATCATATGAAGTGTTTTATGATGATGAAGATCATCCCTGGGATTGCTATTTGACAAAAGTAGATCTTAGGAATGGAATTTATGGTGACTATGTCTTCTATAAGATGTAACTACTCCATGACACTAACAGAGATCTGTATGTTGTGTTTACTAGATATGGTAGAATTGGAGAACCTGGCATGAATCAGAGAACTCCATTTAACAGCTTAGATGAAGCCAAACAAGACTACAAGAAAATATTCAAGCAAAAGACTGGAGGTAATAACTTTGATGAGCTTGATAAATTCTCAAGAGTTAAGAAGAAGTACAATATCACTAGAGTAAATTATATCACAGTGAACTATTAAGACTATCTGCAACCATTTGACTATGATAAATGTCCAAAATCAAAACTTGGGTCTGAGACTTTTGATTTGTTCGAAGAGATTTCAAATGTAACAATGTATCAAAAAGCGATGACTCAGTTCGGTCTCGATTCTGATATCCTACCTTTCAGTGCTGTTAAGAAAGAATCTCTCGTAGAAGCTAGGTAAATACTTATGGAAATTTAAGAAGCATTGAATGAAGATGTTTAACTATCAAAAGAAGGAATAAAGGCTGATTTCGATGCCCTCTAAGCAATTAAAGAAAAGATATGTGAACTATCATCCAGATATTATGAACTAATTCCACTTGAAAGATATAAAAATTAGATAGCTCCTCCACTTAACAATCAACACTTAATTAAGTAACAATATGATACCATAGAAGGTTTAACAAATATTGAATTCGCCTCAAAGATGCTACTTGGTGCACTATTTAGACAACAGGAGATGAATCCAGTTGACTATGTTTACCAAGCACTTAACCTTTTAATTGAGCCACTTAGCATTGATAGTGGCGAATTTGAAATAATTAAGTAGTACATTGACAATACTAGAACAGTAAATAATAATTATAGTGCTGACAACTATGAAATTTCAAACATTTTCAAGCTTCAGAGGAAAGGTGAAGCTGAAATGATTTAGGCTTACAAGGATGTTCCAAATCACTTCTTGTTGTTCCATGGTAGTGCTATGTTCAACTTCTTGGGTATCTTAAGTCAAGGTTTGAGAATAGCTCCACCTGAAGCTCCCCCTACTGGCTACATGTTCGGTAAAGGTGTTTACTTTGCTGACATGTTCGACAAGAGTTTCGCTTATGCTTCAAGAGGATACAATTAGCAAGATAGTTACCTTATGCTAATGTGTGAAGTTGCTCTCGGTAAATCTAAGGAACTTCATTAGGCTGAATATATTGAAAAGCTTGAGCACCCTTACAGCAGTGTTAAAGGGTGTGGTAGAACTGGTCCAGGATACAAGCACACTGTTATTTGTCCAAACGGTATTAAAATACCATTAGGAAAAGTCATTGATTATCATGAAAATGATTTACATAAGAGACAATAACTCATGTTACAACATAATGAGTACATTGTCTACAATACTTCTCAGATTAGAATGAGATATGTTGTCTAGATTTCAAAGAAGCAACCAAAGAAGAAATGAGATTTTCAATTAACTTAATCATCACTAAGCAGAGTTATTAATTATTATTTGATCTTTATGAGCAATTAGTTTTCATCCATAAAACTTAATTCTAAAAATTCTTTTGTATTGTTATTCCGGGGTTTTGGGGTTTTGGGGTTTTGGGG